GGTGCGCCCTGTTGAGGTGTCCTATACTGGGACTAAACAGCTGCTCAGTGCTCCCAGGTCTCCAGTGTTTCCCTAACTGATGTCAGTCCATGATGAATACCAACTTGAAAAAAAATACTGTTTCACTGTGTGAAACGTGTAGTAAATCAAATAAAAAGGTAGCTAAGTTTTACCACGGAGTCCAAGTTTTAATTATCCATAATTATGACTAGGACCCTTACTCAAGTCTTTATTTTTTGGCTGAAAACTACAATGTTAAGATGAGATGAGTGATTGTGTGATTTTGGTGTATTTTACAACTTATTAGAAAGAACTATCTTTATATGAGTAAGTGAATGGGAACGAATCGTTTGAAAATAAAAACCTTTTAGAATTTTAAACAACTTAAATAAGTACAATGAGTAAAATTTCTCTTACAATGTTAACTTGAAATCCTGAACAAGCTTAGTATTATATCTGTGAGAAATCTTGACGAAATAAATAAACTCAGTTTGACAGTAAAATTCTGAAACCTGCGTTGAATAACGATAATTATTTAACTAATTACTTCCCGGAAAAGATTGCATGAATATATTGACTATTATCAAATACTGTAGATTTCATCAGGTAAAGATTGATACTTTGTGTACGATATGGATCACATGTGTAGACAAACGACACTATTCAGCTGTCTCCATCTTGTTTTTCTAGGGGAGCATGGTTAGAACCCATAACCAGTCGGTTACAAAACCCACATATATAAGCAAACAGACCGAAAATCACCTGGATCTCAGCATGCCATTTGTAAGTAGACTTATACTTTATGTAACCACTGTACAGAACAAACAAGCAACAAGTTGTGGTAGAATGTCTTAACAAAACCGAAGTTTTACGTTCAATGACAGTTTCATGTTTGGAATTTATGAGAAAAAGAAGCATGAGAAGATTTATAACTTAATCATAGTGGATTTATGAAAATCAAAACAAGATTTCCTCTTAACGCTTCACTATATACACCATAGTTTCTGCAATATAAATACTGAAAACTAATATATATGGGCAAATAATTAATCACGGAACTGCGTTCAGGATTTTTTTTTTTGGCAACGACTTGTTTGGAATATATACTCCAATTTTTCAACTACAGTTGTAGCACGTCAAGATAAAATATAACAAAACACATAGAGGTCAAATGTTGACATTTGTAAAAATTTTCTTATCCTAAACTATTATTATGAGCATAAATGGAATTCTCAAGTTGTTAGTAAAACATGCTGGCGGCCTTATTTATTTCCACCTTGTCTTTCATCTTGGAGTGAGAAATTTATCGCTGAGCTATCTAACCTGCGACATCCGTGTGTGAATAACTGTTATCCGTAAATATTTGACCAGTCAGTTGATTTAAAGTTTTATTTTCTGATATTTATTCAGTTGGGAGATTAGAAGATAGTCATTGATCAAGTAAAACAAGTTAATATGCATCTAGACATGAACAAATATCTGTTTAGATAATAAATATTTAGTTTTTTTTCACTTGAGTAGATATCAGTTCAGTAGTCTTACCTATAAAGCGTATACACAGTGTAAAACCTTTCATTTTTAACAGCAGCTTGTATACAATAATTATAGTAACCCGTAAATCATTAGCATGCTTATAATATATATACATCTACATCGACCTCATTCAATTCTAGTAGCTTAAAACATCTACATTAAATAAAGTCAAATGGTTCTTTGTCAACGGGTTCAAGTTTAGGTGTAACATCAGGCTGATACAGTGACAAATCTGAAGAAAAATGTAACTGTTCACTATTACCAAATACAGTAATAGCGACTTACATCTATATGGCTAGCAAGTTCCAACCAAATGTTTACTATCTACATTTCTATGTCTTATTTGATTTGACTATCTGGTTGCAGTTTTCCTAGGCAATTTAATATTACTGCTATCCATGTTTAGACAATTCAATTAAACATGAAACTCCACAGCGAAGTTCAACTGACTACTCCATCATTTGACACGACTTACTGATTTTAAGAAGCAGTTTATATGAATGATTTTTGGGGATAGATGGAATAAATATGAATATGATCGAAATGCTAAACTGTTTCGTTTTGTGTACCTACATATTGGATTCTTTTTAGTCCAGATTATTGTGTAAACCAAGCTTTCTGCAAAGGCTTTTCGAGCATGTGGAAACTTTTTAAAGACATCACTGGTGGTTAATGCCTGAATAAAGAAGTACATGTTGACGTTTGTGCTTCGGACAAATCGTATATACACCAAGCCACCTGTTTCATCTCATTTTATTAACGTATGTTCAATGAAGAATGTTATTCAGAGTTCACCGAGAATGTTTTCAAATGTCTCAAATCCTTGAACCATTCACATAATTTAGATCCGAATGGTATGTGAAGCTTCGTATTCACGAAGTGTGCTGATATTTTATGTCATCCATTAGTTGACACGTTCAATAGATCGTTTTTAAAAAACACCATACCAGCTGCCTGGAAAGATATTAAGATGGTCCCCGTACCTAAGTCAGGGAAACCAGGAGCATGTCCAAAATTCTGTTTGATTGCAGTTACCTGTCAGTTCTTGAAAATAATGAAGAAGCTAATAGTACTTGTGCTTGAACCCTCATTGAAGGCTTTCGGAGACCCTGATGAAGTCGTATATAAAAGCAGAAGTATTTTGGATAGTTGTGCATTAGAGAATGTTACAAGAGTTATTTATCTCGGCTGTTTTTTATCCGTACTTTTCCTAGTCCTCCCACACCTTAATAACTTCCAAATGAATTTCCAACTTTCTATATTAGGAAGCTGAGAGTATCTGGTACAACTCAGCCTCTTTTATTATGTTTTATAAATTCCTGCATCTTGCCCGTTCTCCTCTATTTGTTCACGAATTGCTGAAAAAAAGACTATGCTATATTGCGGAGAACTTGAAATATTGTCACCAGAACTAGTAGTGTACGTCTAAACCCCCTAGATTAAACAGTTGTGAACAAACATATTAACTCATGTAAACATTTGACAGGAGTTATTCTATCAGATGACCACCATCCTCTTCATTTAAAGCTTTCTGGGTGTCGATCATTAAGAAGGACAGGGAGCTAGTACATAAGACTTTATGCACGCACTAAAAAAATATAAAACACTGCAACACCGTAATTTAGCTTGTCTGCTGTACAATAAAGAAAGAAAGAATTAGAAATGAACTAACTGATCAACTTCTGTTTTTGAAAGCAAACTTATTGACAATGATGAGTATGTTACTATTTATGTATTATGAACCTAATTACTAGTATGATTGTCTACCTAAATTAAAGGTGTATTTTCAAAAAGTTGTAGATAGAGAGAATATTTTTATTTTTTTAAATTTTTACTTATTTTATTTTGCCATGTATACATCTCTCTGTCCCACTGATGCTATATAACATGCTGAAAATTATATAGAGAAATACAATGGTTAACTTGTTACCTTTCCTTTTATATATGCAGTATAATACAGAAAGCAGAATTTTCTAATAGTACACAAGTTTCGCACTTTCAAGTAAGCAAAGTGCTTAGACATGAATTAGCTTCAGATATCCTTGGAAATAGGATGAATGACTGCCGATACTAAAAATGACTGTGGTATAGACAGAATAAGGGAAACTGGAAACTTAAGAGTCTACTTATTCATGCAGGAAGTGTTTCCCCAAATGGTAGTAGGGGAGATTCCAAAGTATTTATTGAAACTTATAATTTCCACTAACTAGTATACTGGACCGAACTATTCAGTCTCTGTTGGCCTATGGATCCTATGAACGCATGCCTGGATATTACTTAAAGATTTATTATTATTATAATTCACTTGGTAGTGGTTCGCAGTGAAATTCAGGTCACTTGCTTCGTAGTGTTAAAAACTAGTCAGCGAGATGTGTCCGGATCCAAGTAAGGGAAAGATTTCGCCTGAGGCTAGAACCATACATTCCCCACTTCAAACATCAGTTCAAATGAACAGAATAGGTTTCGATCTGATTGGCTTTTGTCAACCTAACTGAATATTAAAGTCTTTTCAACAACATTTTAGACCAGTTGAAATTTTTTATATGAGCTGCGACCAAAATTTGAGCAACTAGTATCGCAAATATAGAGCTTCGAGTGGAAAGCTGACATTAGACGTGGGTCATATTTTGTGCCCCAGAGTATCTCATACAAAATAACTCCAAAGTTTTACATGGAAGTCTGATCCAAGCTTTTTCGGGGAAATGATCAAAATTAGAATATCAAAGATGTATATTTAATGTCATTTGAAAACTTCTTCAAATAATGAAGCATTTAATTATGGTAACAGCGCTCACTCTTGACCTGCTATGGTGTCATATAAAACGCTGTGAAGTCAATAGAAACTATATGATTGTGAATCAGCTTCATCAAGAACAATTAGTTGACATTTTTCAATAGCGATTACTTCCTGAAACAAAGTGTAAGACAAGCAATTTAGCGATTCATGAACTTCTTTCACTTTATGATACAAACTGTTATGAAGTCACCTTAAACTGTGAAGAACGAACATGGAGACACTAAAAATTAGTGACTGTCTTGGAAAAGATACATCTTACAAAGTGGCGTCGGAAGTCCATGATCTATGAAGTCATTCAATTAAGAGGGAGTGGAACTCCAGCGTAAAACACACGAGTTGACTTTCTAAATTTCCATATAATAACCAATCGACTGATATTTATACTCGGTCTCATATGAACATTGGTCAAATTGATATAAAGGGTGCGTATTCATTTGTGTGAAGCATATAAGAGAGTAAGTTTCTCAGATGAATTTAAACTTTAGTTTAACTTTCTTCTCTGATAGAAAAAGCGTCTTCACTCAAAACATGTCCACATAAAATCACTTAGACAAAGAGCAGAATTACTCAGTGAACCACATTATCACCCAAAAATATGCTACCGGTTTGAAATCGAATCCATTATCTTTAGACATGGAATAGAACAAAAATTATATTTTCGTCTACTTACCATAGATGCACCCTGGGCATCTAATTTATCAAGATCAGCACCAGCTTTGTATAAAGCCTCCATATCTGCAAGCATCTCACATTCTGGTACTCGATGCCAATCATCTATTTCTTCTTGGGTTATACCTTCAAGGAGAAATAATCAGGAAATGATAAACAATACATTTAATTCTCACCAAGATTATCAATCCTTTTAAACTGCTAGACTGAAAAGAGAGTATTTGATTTGTTTTTCGTTAGCTAAACTTCAAAACAATAGTCATGAGAGATATCTCATTATAAAAACTAACCATCTTCATGAAACCATTCACCTGTCTTATTCCTGCACCGGAAAGTGAGGCTTATGCATGTATATTCTCGAATAACTTTCATATTAATTGTCACCAACCTATTTACAAGCTTCTTCTCCTATGAAAACTTAACTGTGAATAAAAGCTATCAGATAGTTGAAATTCTCGGATGATCTGAACAACTACTAAACCACTGCTTTCAGATTAATCTCTACTCAGGTAAGTAGTACCCGGAGAACCAATGAAAACCAATGTCTACTGAGTAGCTCGATGATTCTAGCCCGAAAAATATTCAGGTAACACGCACACTAGAGGCCTAGAAAAGTCAGAGAACAGAACACTGAGCTTATTTGCTAAAGTGTTTTGGTTTGTAATTCTTATCTTCAGTTACTTTTGATAGATATTAGTCCTCTGAATTATTTCTCTGACAATTATGCAGCAGTTCCAACCTAGATTGAACTAAATTATAGCGAAGTATGCAGTTACAATAATGGAGTATTAGTTTTGGACCATAAGTGCATGTGTATGCACAGGACTGTATGTATACACATCACGGAACTCTACTATTCAAATCTTTGATATAAATGAAAGCTTCAGAAGGATACTGGTATGAAGAGAAGATATAACAACACAATGGCAATGAGATACTTGACATTTAAGACCTGGAAACGTAAGCAAATAGATAGCCATCTGTCAAGCGATTTTTTCTTCATTAAACTGCTTATTATCTCACACAACTTTACCTACTTTGATATCACTCCTTTCTATCCATCTGTTCTTTGTGTGCCGTTGTTGAAGTTTGATATCTTGAGCAGATGTATCTGTATGTGAGGTTGTACTTTTATTTTGTCTGTCCGTATGTCTGTTTGTTAACGAGCTTAATCTGGTATATCTCAACGAAACGTTCTACAACGTTTTAGACTTTGCATATTTGTCAGGTGTTTCGGATATACACTATTCACCAATAGTTGACAGAAACGGCTGGGCTTTTATCGTTGTACTTCTTGGAGTGAAAGGATTCTAGTTTCTCAAGAATTTCAAAACAGAAAAATAGAAGTACAATCTAACAGGAAAAGAGAGTAACTGCCATTGCGTCAGCAATTGGGAAATCAAACAACAATAAAACAGCGAAGTTCTTCAAAGATATAACAGCAGAGTATGAAGTGATCGCCTGTAGGAGAATCGAAAATGTTTCCTTCACTGACTGCTCAGCGTTTCATGTCCATTTAATTACCAGTCACAGTTTCATCGGCTAAAGTTTCAAAATCGGGTTTTTTGATGATAGTTGTGTACAAGAATTGTGCACAAACACTGACTTACAATCATTTCTTCTTCATATTATCATTACTACCATCAGCATTCTTTCCATAAAAGTTGTGTTGTGGTTAAATGAAAACATCAGGAGTGACAGATAGGAAGAAAAGGAAATATAGTGAGTGATTTTTTCCCCTTCTTTTTACTGACCTGCATAAGAATAAGTCTAGATGTCCGCTTATTTATACACCTTCCATTTATCAAAGATGTCTAGATACATTATAAAAGATAAATTCACAGTAACTCATGTTTTAAAACCTTTAAGACAGTGATAAAGATTATACTGAATAATCTGTTTTGAAAAAGACTATCAAGTCATTACCTGGAACATATAGGTTCCATAGTTACTAGCTTAAACTTTTTATACAGTTGGCAGTATACGCATACACAACTGAAAAATGACGAATTTGTTAAGAAGACTGATCATTACTGAGGCTGCATTTTACACTTTCATATTCCTTGCTTTTATTTTTTTACCGTTGTATTCATCAAAATATTCACTCAGACGGCTTATCTTATCATTCTTGTCATTAGTTCGAATCACTTAGTCAGTATGCGTGGAGACAGTTCTCTTGATCAGTAGGTCATTTAATCATGCATGACGTACAGGTGTAAACAGGCATATCAAAATTAGCATTAAATACTGCTATTTCAAACTAGTCTACTCAACAAAACTGTAAGTGTCTGTCATAATTTACATGGTGGTAGGTAACAAAAGAAACCATGAAATGGACTTCACCCCTTTCGGGAACCCATCAGTTGGATGTACCTGCATCCTAGTAAGTGATGCTGTTTAACCCATTATAACAGCGGAAAACTGAAATAATCAAAAATAAAAAGGCTTTTAAAGCAGCAACAGTTTGTATTGTAAGCATTTATTGTGCAACTGTGAAGTTCTGTTTATGTTGTTAGATGGAGGTGAAGTAGTGAGTGGGCAGCTTTGAAGATGATAGTCAAACATACGAAGTTTGATATGGAGACGGAATAAGCCAAAAGAAGTTTCTTCATGACTAGCTGTGTCTCTTGCAATTCTAAAGCAGTTTATCATGGGATAACAAATGTATTGGTAACATGTAAATGTTAGATTTTTAGAGGTAATCAAAATGTAGGCCCAAGTTATTCTATTGATAAAAGAAAATCTTTCTTGTTAACATGTGCTGATAACAAATACAATGGAAACTGTTAGTCAGGATTTAAGTTTATTCAGGGAATTATAGACTTAGGTGACATCATCACAGACCACCTTGTTTCCTGAAGAAAATATAGAAGTTACTAGTTGTTGAGAATTTGAAATTAAAGAGCGGAAACTACCATAATGTGTATGCATAGAATATGAAAATAACAATGAATGACTCAATAACAGAATGTTGCATAACAGGGTAAATTTACTAGGTGAGAAAAAGATGAATCGAGCTTATGGAGACTATTGCAGAATAACTAAAACGAAGAGCATTACGTGATTAGAAATAATTAGTAAGGGTCCTTTGATTGCTATTCTGGTGAACTATGAATTTCAATTTTTGTATAGATCACTTAGGGTGCACAACCAGACATTCTTGCCATTAAAACCTGGTTATCCAGAACATATGTAGTTTTACGCGCATTAATGGTTCGGACTGACTCAAGTTTGCAGATCATGTTTTGCGATAATGCCATTGAGTTAACTGATCCATCACTGCACTTACGTGCAGTTCGATGTTTGACGCTGACAGTCCTTTGAATAGACATCAAAACTCACTTATATTTATGGTTAACAGTTAACTCCAGCTCCTTTCAGTTTCTTCTCCTTTGATCAGTTATACATTTCAAAGCAAAATACTAGTCACAGTTATCACACCATATTCAGATCCATAATCTTATCAACAGGCATGCATATCTAATTTGAAAGCTTATAAGTGACGACAGAATTTTTTATTTTGTGGTTCTTTATCTGTTAATGTAATTTGTTGAAAGTACATGGCTGCTGAAATGTAAATCGTTTCTGTAACCATCTAGTGGAGTAGTAAGCTGAAAGACTTTAACATTTCATCATAATATATCCTGAGAGTGAAGTACATCTTGTGAATTCATAGATACTAATAAATGATTCTGCGTAATTCTTACTGAGCTTATGTTAGCAATCATTCTAATCAAAGTCAAAACAATCAGCTGATGAAGTGTCTAAAAATAAACAAAACTGTAGCCTTTTAAGCTATCGAAGAAATGTGTAACTTTTTAGCATGAACAAACCTAGTTATAAAACTTATTCAAGTGAATTAGATAATAATAAATAGTTATATTTTAGTGTTACAACTGTAATTCAACCTATTGAACAACTAAAATGTTCAAGTAACATTCTTTACTGTGAAATGTATTTTTAAGTTGTGCATTGTTAACAGAATGCTCCAAATCGATTCTAGATATAATTACAATACACCAATGTAAGTTTTCATATCAACGTTTTAATAAAGTCTAAAACCTATGTATAAATGTTATGTCTGGAGGTTTGGACTCATGCACATTCACGCTAGCACTCAGACAGATAAATTACGTATTGTATGTTTCTGCCTATATATTGTTAATCAATCACATAAAAGGTAGCTAAGAAGAGAAGAAACTATATGAAAAAGTGTATGTACTCAATGTTCAACATACACGCATGCACACATATACACAAAACAACAATCCACATTACCTGAAAATTGGTTAATTTTTATGAATTGTATGCTCATTCATAAGTATCTTGGTTTGTTTTTAACCCGACTACATAATATAGAATACATATTTATTCAATACTTTCATTTATTTCACCTAACACCTCTGTTATATCGATCACTTAGAGTGATACTTCTCATTCTCGTAGACAATAAACCACATGATAACAGGTATTGAACTACCTTAGCAAGTATAACTTCAAGAAGATCCAGGTGAATTTTAAATGACAATTTGCTTTATGCAACTCAAGGTGTACAAACATTGAGTAGATTAGTAAAGGAGTGAGGTTATGTTGAATATGTGTTCCTTCACCCTAGTAGGGAAAGTGAATTCTTCATAAGATGGTATTCATCGTAGCTGCTATACCCACGATAAGTAATGCGAATAAAACATAAGCAAAGAGATAAACAATAATACCTGATTCGTCAACATTTAATTTGAAAGAAAGATATTTTGCACATGGAAATTGATGAAAACAGTTGGCGAAAAGACGTTCCAAAGAAAATTTTTGTAGAATGCTAAAAAACGGCAAGTGTTTGATATTGGTATCCCTAGGGACAGTTAGATGAAATCTACAAATATTTCATATTTAGAGTTAAGACGTCCCCTACTATAGTTGGATGAATCCAAACTACCCACTCAACGCTCCAATGTCTTTTTATTTGATTTAATATGTACAACTAAATGATAATACCAGCTGTTACAGTGTAAATGTAACTGTATGTATGAACGTTCGTTCATTTAGTGTTTCAGGACCTCCTCGTTGATGAGTATCGATGACATCAAAACTTGAACCGGGGATTTCCGCCCCATTGTATCAATATATGAGCTAATTTCCTCAACTATCCTTTAGTATGATCATTCTCATTCTACGAATATTCAGCAGAATTAAGAAAACTGAGAATTTTTTGTTCTTATTTTCAAAAGGTTAATCCCGCAGCAAACCATGAAGTAAAACCTCTCTTTTAACTTTGAGTGTTCACTGTCTACTCCTAAATAATACCATCACTACATACATTAGACATTACTGAAAAAACTGACCTCTTTTATCCATTTCCATTTCAATTAGATTCAATGTCGGTCCAGGTAAACAGCATTCATATGGCATATTACCGTCCACATTCATAGCCAATAAGTCTGCACCACTAACAAAAATAAAAACACAATAGATATATGAGTAGTGATGCATAGAACTAAGAAGGAAAGTCAGTACGCTGAATGATATTTTGTACTTCTGCTTAGCTACTTGACTACTTTAAATTACTAGCAAAGAAATGGTATGCAGTGTACGTTGCAATACTATGTTGAAGGTTGAACTACCGTTTTAAGATGATAGTGGCATGAATTTTCTTCAACACAGAAGACGTCTAAATGCTCTAGAAATAACCTTCACAATACCAAGGATTTGATGGAAAACATTTATCTAACCCACTGCGGCTTGGTAGTCAAACACAGACGTTTGCTCCAAATTACAAGTTATACACAGTCCCTGAGTGCTTACTTTACTACCCAGGCATATATTTTGAAGGGAATGAAGTACTCTTGACCTATATGATTAGTAAGTAGTTCAACCACTAAAACTACTAATGCGCTAGACAACCAGGCCATCAAAAATCAATCATAGGCGTCAATGATGCAGATTACAATAAAGTCTAAACCACTTTTTTTTTATCAGCAACGAGTTATAAAGAAGAAGTGTAAAAGACATCAGTGAACAGCACTCATTTCTAACGTATACTTACTGATAAATATGAAATAGAATAAAAAAGAGGAACGGATTAACAGGACTACACCTTCATATACATCATTTTTTCTGTGAACTGCACATGATTATGCTGTGTAGTGATAAGGTGCTACTAAAAATAGTTGTATTGTTCCATTCACAAAATAAATGTGTTGATTTTCGTGAACAAAAGTCCTTAAAGGCAATCCTAATCCATGGTAATCTAAACACCGAAGCCGAGGTTGTCTGAGATGTACTTATATATAGATTCAGTCTAAAACGACGAAATTTCAAAACTATCACTTTCTATCCAATAATGAATCAAGTAAATTGTATATGAAAGGCATACAGTTAAAGATTGGAAGACTTCAAAGATGTCGAAAATTTATTCAAGAATTTCTACTATGCTCCCCTTCCTAAACCAAAAACGTCCAGACTACACAAGTAGCACACAAATACAAACATGTTAGTATACAGTCGAATGAAATACTGTATCTTAAAGCGTTACACGTTGCTTAAATCGAATACCATCATCAGTCATTGAGTAGCATATGAATGGCATCATTTATCACATACTTATGGATACAGCTCTTCATTGTTCTATCAGTATGAAGACATATATTAACGCTTGTAATAAGTACCAATATTTATTATTATTATTATTTATTATTTATACCAATGAGTTTTAATAATGAGATGTTCCAGAAGGAAAAGAGAAAAAACATGTGCATATGTATGCGCAAGTATGTGTGCACACATCTGAATTTATAAGTACAAGGACACATTCAGTTTAACCAACCAGTAAAAAGAAAAAAATGAAAAATTCTTGATACAACCACTTCTGTACTGTTTATTTTATCCACTTCCATTACCTTTTCATTTTCACACTACTCCACATGTAATTGGATAACATTTGTCAGAAAAATATGTTAACTCTCATGTTTCTTTAAAAATTATTACTTTTGACAACATAGTTGGTGGGTTAAGATGAGGGAATAAATATTTCATTGAAAACTTTTTTTGCATCAATAATTCAGTCAAATTTTAGGATCAAAATGTATTTTATGTCATTGGGAGTTTTTCATCTGTTTTCTTGTATATTCTGTTGGGAAAACGAATTGAGTTTTTCATAGAAAGTTTATGATGTCATTAGAAAATATGTATTTTCAATGAAAACTGTAAGAAGGTGAGAGAATTATTATGAGACATTCTTACTACAGTCACTTTATTTCAGAGGTGACAAGAAATGATATTTTGGGAACATTATCAAAATGAATTGGTGAATGAATGCAAATGAGCAGCTACATACAAATTAATGCCACACACTATGAGTTAAGTTTATTGTTTGAAGGTGAAGAGAATAAACTAGGAGGTTGAGAAGGCTTCAAAAGTATTAAGGGATTCAGACTGAAGAGATGCAGTATCGAACAAAGTATACCGGGAGAAGGAATGTGAGCACTGATTTATTTCTGCATGTGAGGAATGCATTTCATACACTCCATCTTAGAAGGCGTTAACCTCCTGCGGTTCAAGTTCAGTACAAGGTGTAACCAATTCAGAAATCCTTCTGTGTACAGTTTATTTTTTCTCAGAAATAAATTTGCAAGGTTAATGTCTGTTTTTGACTGGACAACAGATGCACGTAACCATGATAGTGGTTTGGCGTTCACTGAGCCTTGATATTTTGTCGTGTACCTTTCATTAGCCGTCTTGGTGATGATAGGTTCACAAAAAAATATCAAAGTTCAGCGAACATCAAACCACCATCATCCACGTCCTGAGCTACAATCTTTTTCATCATTTTAAAATCTTTTGAGAGCAAAGCGTTTCTCTGTGCTCAGAAATAAGAGAATTTTTGTCTGTCAGAGAGCTTTAACTCGACAGCAGCTTTTCTTTTTACACAAACGTTTACGGCAGAATATCTTGCCACAAAGTATTAGATACAGACCAGTTATCATTTATCCTACTGGGTTGAAGGTTGCACAACAAAGTGGCAGAAAAAATGGTGCGATTAGTGGTATCAGATGCACACAACAGAGTAACCAAATACAAGGTAATTACAACTCAACAACAACTATTGTAACCAATCATCGGTGCAGATACGATGAGCAAATTGACAGGAGCTATTATTATAGGAACTAAGAACGAAGGCGAGAAGATGAGACAGAAGTTGAATGATAAACTACTCAAGCCATCACAACTAACATAGAAGGAATTGAAGGATGAATTTAAGAACATGCACTATCTACAAGAGAATACGTTTTGCTTCAGAAGGGATAGAACTACAACACTAGAAATGCAAATAAACTAGATTTCTGTGCTTCTTTGGAATCTGTATTAAAAACCTCTGCATTAAATGTTGAGCGATAATAGGAACTACGTCAACCAATTGTACCTCTATTGAAAATCAAAGGGAATCAACATCTAGTAAACACAAAAGAAAGAAATGCACTGAAATCACTAATGATTGACAAGAAAATTGTAAGATTGCTTTCGGATAAAGGAGGGAAAACCATCGTCATGAACAAAATGGACTATGTCAAACAGGCAAAGGAATTACTAAATGATGGATGTGTATGCCAACCACTAAACCATAATCCAATTTAGCAACTGGCCAACTAGATCAAAAGTAAACTGGGGAGTTTAGTAGAAGTCAGCAAAATTACGAAAAAAGTAAGAACAATGGTGGATGCAGACAAACGGAATAGTCCTACAGAAGTTCTACGGTTGACCTAAGGTACATAAGATAGATATAACACTAAGACTAATAGTTTCACTACCTATAACACCTTCATTCAACCCGGCGAAAGAATTGTGCAGGGAACTAAAGCATCGTGTCAATGAAAACGAACACTCATTTAGCTCAGCAACTGAATTTCTAGGCAAAATATAAGATTTAAAGATAGGCAGTGATGAAAGAATGATATCTTTTGATGTGACTACACTCTTCACTTCATTCGACATCAACTTAGCCAAAGAGACGATGGATACTAACCAGACCGATGCTGACTATACGAAGACCATGATTTCAAACCTAATGTAAGTTTTTTATGAGGTAATTGCTGAAGAAGTCACCAAGCCTCCTGATGAAACGTTCACCACAGAATATCTAAGTTCAGAGAACACCATATCATCATCACCACCGTCATCCTGAGGTATAAACGTTTTACATCCTTTAAAACTTAATGATAAGTCGTATAGTAGGAGCCTACGTACTCGTTTCAATCAGCAAGGCATATCTACTGACACAAGAGAATCTCTGTCGTCTCCGCAGATCAGATGCCTTGATCTGCGTTTGAAGGGGTGTTGCTAACGAAATGTTTAGTTCTTGAGAATCCATCTATAAGGTGACATTACCTACATGAATTGATCACCAAACGCTAGATAATATTAGTTCATAACTAACAGCGAGACTAAATCATACTGACCAATATCCTTTGAATCTTATTGTCTTATATGCCCGGCTAACTGGGTTTGAGTGGATACAGCCAAAAGACTTTGTACCAGCTTTATATTCCATCAGCAAAAATGTAACGTCCTGTTTGTTCTTTGCAGGTATTTAGGTTGTATCAACATTATAGCAATAAATAAATATATCAGTAGAGCATCTAGTTTGCCTGAGTAAATAGTTTCACAAGGTGAAGTAACCGAAAAAAACTCTGCTGTCTAAAAATATACGTTCGAGAATGGTAAAAATCAAATTAAGCTATCAAAGTCTAATAACATGTGATTTCTATTTCAATAATATCGATATCCCATGCTGATGGTCAATAAAAGGCGTCCACTTACTGATGAAATCTGTTAAGGATGAAACTCCAGCATCAATATTCGTAGTACAGTAATAATTTGCTGTGTTTTTTTTAATAATGAGTCGCCTAAAATCAACCAAAATATCTTTACAAAGAGATAATTAGACGTACTGCTCTTAGTGCTGTATAGGTGAGGAAGGGTTTCAAACCGAGTAACGCAATAGTAACGTCCATGAAAGTAACATCCACATTGTGGTTACAATGATAACATAGTAATGAATGTCAATAAGTAGCAGATTCAGGTTCCCACTTGCCCACTACTTACCTTCTTCTACTCAACATAACAAAGTACTCTCAAATAAAAAATTTCTAGTTAAGGAAAGATCACTGACTCTACGTTCAGCAAGAGTGCTAAAATAAATCATAGGATAAGTGTATTTAGAAATAATCTCATTGCTTGATCAATATATATCACAAATGAGTGTGGCAAACACTACTTACTAAAAATTTTTGTTAACCATTATAAAGGTTTGAATACACACGTATATCTTATCAGTGCCTACACTCTAATTTTTGTTTACGAAAATGAACTCAATGCAGTGCTATTATTAGTAATAATAGTACTGAAGCTGAAACTCATAATGTAATCAATGTAACCAATAGCAAATATATTTAATTAAAATACCGTATACTAGGTTGTATAAGATTTACAATATACTTTCAATGAAAGTTCACTTATTTTGTTTGAATATTTAATGTTATTGGTCTAATAATAGATTGTAGCACTTCACCGAAAGTAATGTGCTTTCATTTATGAAATCTGATGAAGTCTCCTAAACTCGAACCACTAACCAGTTATACCGAATTTCATGTTGATAACGACTGACTGATGTGATACTTAACTCAGTTATATGACAAGTAAACTTGATTGGAAAAAAATTTAGTTTTAGGGATCCAAATATCATTCACCAGAATGGTTATTTTTATTGTTAATGATTGATCTTTAAATGAATTTTCATATGTATAAATGTTGTATGCCATTTGCCCATTAAAATCATTAAATTATTGAGTAAATACTCAAGCCGACTGTACTGAAGATTGATTACAATGAGTAGCACTGGAATGCAAGACGTGTTTTGTCCTGTTTGTGATTCATCGGCTGAAAGTACCTGCCTCTCAGTCAGTGATGTTGTCCCGACAAAGACACGAACCCGAAACCGTTAGCTCCAAACACCACGGCATTATTCATCGGGCCATCGAGTCCCTATAGCTGCATCTTGTGCGACTGGTATAGTTTCTATATTGTTGCCTGAAAAATTCCGTTGTTGATTGGACCGAATTGATCTGTCTTTATTGGCATATTGGCCGATCGAGTTGGTTGAATCAACAACAAGGAGTTACAAGTGATAGCATCAAGAAAACCATGCTACACTAGTAGCACATAAAGTAACCATCGTGACTCAGTGGTCTAGTGGATAACGCCCTGGTATTTGAAGCGATCGGACATTGGCTCGATTCTTAGTAGGAACAACATAGCTCACTGTGGGGCAGGTACATCCGGCAAACAAGGCATCATGGATTACGCTGATAGCCGCCACCCATCAATAACACTATTTAGTATTAGTCATTTTTGGTACGATACGAATACTGTGCGGTATCACCTACAAGTTAGCGTTCTGAGTTTGGAATTCTCTGGTTTCATAAGTCACGTACACTCTACAAGGAATTTGTCTGTTTAAAGCAAATAGTAAATGAAAATCCAATTGTCATTCAGATAGTGGGTGTGAAAAATTCATTTGCTGGAGTTAGCTCAGTATGCCTTCTTTATGCAATAACGTTTACTGATAATATAATATGCGGTGATAGGAGAAGACGAGTCTACTTCTCTTCTTGAAAATCATTATGACGCATCATTCTCAGAAAATATTAAACACAATGATAATCTTCGTTTTTATTGCCTTAATTCAGAGCCAAAAAACTGTTCAATGAATACCTGAAATTGAAAATAGACTTTTAGGACGATAACTTCACTGTTTGTAGGCAATCTGGGGAAGCTCCAGGCAAAAGTTTCGTATCTGTCGGCATTCGCAAATCGTACACACGGCCTTCAGCACACTAGCCTTAGTGATTGAAATGCAAAATGATGGACAGAGTTTGGTCAACAATTAGGACTAAACAACAGGAAATCGGTTACTGTGCAATGACTAATCGATGTACATCGTCCTGTCCTACTGGAGGTCATGACCCAAACAGGATATTGACCATGGCTCTACGTATGGTACTGGATGAAGTGTGGTCGGAACGCTCAAAGAGTACATTTAAATAACAACTGAAGATATGCATCAGTGATGAGTTCACAAAGGTATAAAACCTAGGTTGATAGTATCCTGTCAACTGCCTGCAAACACCTTGAATGAACCAAAAAGGGGGCGTGATGATAAGTCTTTTAGCTTGGTAAAGAAGTCAGAAAACGATGCATAGTATTCGATGGGCACTTAGATAATATGAAATTGGTTGCTTCACAGTGACTAAACCAAGAATAATATTGCCAGCATATTGATGGAGATCCGCATAACTTATAAGGCATTGGCATGCGTAACAAACCACTTGGTAAACATCCAAAAACTACAAACCTCGCAATGATACATGAGATGAAGTGGATGCAAATTTGAAGTGGCTATGCGATTACCGGGCATCAAAAACTGCTCAGATCAACTATGTGATAAACATTAGGCATGTGGTTCTTAGCATCTACAATCTAGCTGAAACTGACGACTGGTAACTGTAATTTGCTGAAGAATACGACTGAAAATCGGTTTCAGTGGTAAAAGTAGTTCCATCCCCACATTTCCTAATAAATCCTACAAATCGTATTTCTAGGCACCAACTAACATTTTCACCTTTTTTGTGTTTTATTATTTTATTACTGTTAGAATAATAATTTTGCATTTGACTATTTTCTCTAGGCTTTCTTGACCAACAGTTACCATCCCCTTCTGAGAAGTGGATACTTTGATTATCTTTCCCTGAATATAACTGAATAATTATTTCGGTTTGAAAGAAACTCGAAACTCTCCATTACATTGTAGGATTTTTAGTAACCTATGGATAAACCGTCAACAGTTAAAGGCATATTAGTACTTGAGTAACCTGAGAAAGTGACTTTAAATAGTCAATAATAAACTAAGAAAATAACACTTTCAATACAACCGTAAACATAAAACCAAATACAATTCAGAAATAAAAAACATGCGCCGCAAGGATTTAATAATATTTTACGAAACACTGAGAAACCATTAGGTGAACAGAGTCAAGTAGTTTGGTGACTTTAAAATAAAAGAAAATGTTGCAGCGGTAACTATTTAAACGAGAAAATCAGACAAATGAGAAAGTCATCACCTTCTCACTGATCTTATTCAACTGCATAGTATTAAGGTTCTCTATTTACCTTTTCGACCTTCAAAGTAACAAACTTAAGTTTATTGCCATTATCAACTAAGGGAGAGCCAGGTATACAGAAAATACTGGACTGTAACTGACCATTGCCAATTATAAAGACACAAAGACTAACTTTAACTACGTAGCATTAACACTAAATATAATGAGGGTGGGAGGTGGTTGAAAACTGTCCGAAAAAATAAAAGTTTTAACAATCAACCCAAAATACTGGTGAAACTCACTGGTCTATTAAAATTTTGCACATTTCCGTATGATGACATGTGGCTGATGCGTGTAATGGGGTCCACAGTTCTGTATCACGAGAATTGGGATTTGCACCATATCGAAGAAGCAGTCTACACATTTCCAAATTGTTATCATGCAACACTGCGAAAAAAAATTAGTAGATGGTAATTTAGCATTAACTTTCAGCGTTTTGGTAAAATTATTTCTTGAAATGTTTGTAAACAAAAACTTGCTATTGTTTGTGAGATAAAAATAGATCGTGAAAAGCGGAACTCATTAGACAACCACGGGTTTCGGCAATCAGCTTAGGAAAATATCAAATCTCTAAAAGCTTACAATTCTACTCCATTTTTCAGATCCGAAACTTTTTTACATACAACTTTAACTGTGATGCTCTAAATGTATCTCAGTAGCCAGGAAAATAGATCGTGAACAAAACGGTTAAAAGTCTGAAATCGACAAGTAGGTATTGATGTGAAAATGAACAGTATCACTTGCTTCCAAACAGTATGTGTATTTTCGGCATTAGTGTAAAACTCCGTGAGTTGTTGGTGACCTACAAGGTCAAGCTACAGAAGAAAAAAACAGATCTACCGTGATCAATCCTCAAAAACAATCTGCTTTTGTGACAAGACAGTACTTAGCATATGGCTGTTTTTTTTCTGTTAATAGCAATTGGTGTCTATTTCAAGGTGGAGGTGTATCTCTTGCAAGTTAGTACTGCAGTTAGCATTGATAAATTAGCTTATTTTGATTGATAGTTACAAAATTCATCATTTTGTGGACATCCATTGGTTTTGCTACTCTCTCCGTTTCCTCAGTAGAACTGAACTTCAATTTGCCCTCGAAAGAAAGAGTTTATGTTTTAAAGACAAAAAAAAGCAGGTTTAAGGCTCATGAGTAGCATCCATTCACTTGACATTGTCTGTTCAAAACTAATGAATAAATCAAAGAAAGTCTTCTTCAGATATTGTCGGACTAGAATAGTCATTCATGCTACTTTTCGTCTTTTGTCTATCATACTATTCAGTTGATTTAACTTTTAAGGTACTTAAACTTGAGAATAAAAGATAGAAAAGTAGAGACATAGCAGCTGTGAAGAAATCTGAAGAGATTTTCGTGATGACATTTTTTCCAAGAGTATTCCATTCAAACGTAAGCTTTTATTGCCAGTGTGAGAATTATCGACACCAGTGATATTGGTTCACGACAACAAATGAAGAGAGGAACTTAACGATTGGTTAGTAAAAGATTCAGGCTGGTTGTTATCTATTGACGTGCTCGCTACAAAAATTGATGTCTTTTCAGTGATTTCTACGAAGAACAAAACTATTATGAATTATCTCAACCACCGTGATTAGTGACCCACTTTTGAGTCTCCAGAAAACTATGAGTTATTCAATAACTTTTAGTAAGTTTCAGTAGTGCGAAATCTACTTTTTAAGCTCTCTTTGAAAACGTACAACATATCTAGCTCCATGGTATGCTTCACAAATTAGCTGAGTGTCAATAAACATCTTTTTATCACGACCAAATAAAACAGAAAGATATTCGATTTTTCTCTTTAGGTGATTTAGGAAATTTTATTGTTCATGGTTTACTTTCATTATAGGATTACATCACTTTTGAAACAACTGAAAACTAAAAAGAACTGACAATTATTTCTCACTAATTCAAAACTTCCCAGTGTACGGCAGCTGAGATAACATGCGAGACTGACTTGAGGACCTTCAGATCTTTTTTGTCCAGCTACTGAGCTCATATTCCTTAAGCCATGACTTGTGGCCTCTACCAAGTTCAAAGAGAGGCTGGAAGCCCAGTAGTGATAATGGATGGCGATTAGAACCATATGATAAATTGACAAATATAGGGAAATATAAGCCGTTGGATTTGCTACTAGGGTTTGAACACTAGCGTATTCCCTGAAGAATCTTAAGGTTTTAGGCTGTATATCATATGAGATTAGATGTCCAAAAATAGGTTTCAAAAACTATCCTAAGCTCTCGCTCTGCATTAATTACCTAGCAAATATCACTCTGCAATGAAACTATCTTCAAAGGCTCTGTGCATTTTAGTGTACAAATCTAGATCATCGTTTTCTAGCGAGAATTATTTTTAGCTTTTATACTGATTTCGCATGAAAATCTTTCGTAATTCATAAGTCAGCAGTATTCGTGATTACTTATTGAAATGAAAAAAAATACCATTCGTTAGTCGGTTTAAAGAAAAATACATTAGTAACATGGAAGCTTAGTTTATGTTCACAAGCGTGGTTAAGGATTCAATAAAATAAATTTAGTTGTACGCCATGAAAACAAGATTTCATTCGAATATCTACAACCTAGTTTCGTTGAAAAGAGAAAAAATGTTAGACACTTACGGAGTGTCTACAAACAGAATGAATGGAAAAATAATACCGACATTTGAAATCATTCTGCATATCGACGAAAAACACGCTTTGTTCTTATGTGGAAGCATCGGGTGAATAATACCGTCCGACCGCTTATAATATTTAACACACAAACTAACATAGAGAAAATAATTAAAAATTTACATATTTCACCTTCTTCATTTGTCGATAACATGTTTAAAAAGTGTAACGCAGTCTGCTCAGAATACTTTTTCGAAGAACCATTATTTCAAGTTTTCTACCCTTGAAAAATAATTCTCTTAGAAATGAAATCACACACGCATAGTGTATACTTAGTTTTTTTTGTCTAATAAATAAAAACCACAAACATACGTACAATATAGCCTGAAATAACAGCACCACTACACCATCAGAATTTTACTGCAGTAGAGAATGTAGCAACCAAATGAAGTCTATAAAAAGTCAGGTAATTAAATGAAGCTGTCATCCACAATGAACGAAACCAATTTTGTTTAAGTTAGGTGTTACCTAAGGGTTCAATAAGGTATTAAAACCAACCGCTTCCTTTCTCCCGTTGATTTTTTTAAATCAAGTTACTTGGATTCGTCTAACGTTTTTTGCAAACTGCTCGACTGTTACCAACATTAGTAGTAGTAGTAGCAGTACAAGTAAATCTTTTCTACTGAATTCTTTTCTGATTCCCTAACTGACATCAGGAAATAAAGAAAAATAGCTTTGGTTTTCTTAAGACCACCACGTCAAATTACAAAACAATAAATATGAAAACTTATTGCTTTCTATTTACACTAACAAGATCCAAACTCAATAAAACACACGAAAAGAGGAGACGGGAGAAGACAGTATTTCATTCCTAACATAAACTCCCATACACAAATATAGAGAAGCGTCAAAAGATCACTAATTGTTATTCTTAACAATAAAAAATGTTGGCAAGTGTTTATCTTAAGTGATTGATTATATACATATAGAAGATGAACTTCCACTGTCATTGTATCTCTTTCATTATCGTTGGTTTCAATAGAAAATTAGAAATCAATAGGCTGAATTTATTTCTTCAATAAACCTATAACTTATTCTTAAAGCAATAAGAATAAATAGCTGTCAAGTTCATAAAAAAAAGAAAAGAAAGAAAGATAAGTGCATATTATTCACAATGAAATTAGAAGAGTGACTTAACACATTCGTTTTGACTTTATAGAGAATGCAAACCAGAGTGATGCAATAATATTTCCTACTAATAGACATGGAGGTTGTTGATATTTTACAAATAGGTATATCAATTAACCATATTTCATCTGCATCCTATCAACCGTAGAACTGATAGATGATGCTTATCATACAAAAAATGAGTATCAGATCAGCCAAGTGATCATGCCTAGTACCACTGAGAAAAGACGACATGGTTTGCATAAATGTGTAGCATAAACAAAGTGAATGAATTGACAAAACAGCTACCGACATTACGTTGCTATGATATCAAAGCTGATGCAGTATACAAGCCAGACTGAATATGCTAATGAGAAACAAAGTCAAAAAAAAATCGCTGACTACATATCTTCAGAGTTTGTGTACACAAGCCTGTATTACCCATCATTTGAAGTCAAATATACGATTAACCGTGACATCTATTGTAGATTGATCACCAGATGATTATTACATATACTTGACATATAATTTAATCTTACTTCTAATGATAGTTACAACATCTTCAACGTCTGTATACAACACCATCATCAGTTGCAGTGAGTAGAATAAAGTTTAAACATTCAGAAATTCATTATACTTGATATCGTCACTAAATGCAGCTTTTGTAATTCACATGGATTTTTTTCTTTTCCCAACAAATAACAACTGATGACAATGACGCTCAACGGAAGCCCAATCACTTTTGTACAACTTAATCCTGTCACTTGACTCTCATCATCGAATACCAGAAATGCAGTGCATCGCAGTGTCATGTCGTTTCACCCAGTGATCACATTGTAAAACCTAATGAATAGAATTCTATCAGTCCTGAGCACTAAGGACTAGACAGCACCTGCATGGGTTACCTACTGGTGTGCAACTCGTGAATTAATATTTTATTATTCATTACAATTATTTATTCACAACTATCAGAAGTGGAAATCTCGCCTGGTTAACTAGTTCACTAGTTACTAGCCGGTAGCCCGGATAAAGAGGGAAAGTTAGGCATAGGGTTAGCAACCATGCCCCTTAAACGCAATCCAATCGCCAAGCAAGCTTCAAAGCACAAACGAAGTATAAAAAATAAAAACAAAATTATTCCTCGCTGAAATCGAAGAGGCGAAATGACGCCGGTTGGTGAAATCCTTTGGGAAGCCAATTGGCCGATGTGTCTTCTCCCCTCGATGAAAGCGAAAGTAAACGTGGGGACATGGAATGTTCGCATCATGTATGAACCTAGCAAGGCTGCCCAAATCGCAAAAGAGATGAGGAGGCATAATATAAAAGTGCTGGGAATCTGCAAAAGCAGGTGGAATAGACGTAGACCCTCCAAACTGTCAACTGGAGAGTCAATAATCTACTCTGATATTCTCACCCAGACGACAACCACGAGCACATTGACTTATGGAGTGGCTATCATGATGTCCCCAAGAGCATCGAAGACTTTCAGGTAGTGAGACCAATCTCATCCAGGATCATGACAGCAAGGTTCAAATCAAAAGGAAGGAAGGTCATAATCATACAACGCTACGCGCCTACAAATAATGCAGATCAAGAGAAGAAG